TCCTGCGGGTTCCTCTAACTGCACCATTTGAAAGAGGGGTGGAACGACACCGCACAAATCCCCCACCCCGCTGGGGGATCGTGGGGTGTTGCAGTCCACCCATCTTCGAGTGGCCAAGGTTGAGCAACCCTGGCCTATGCGATAAACCTCTGGAGGGTTTGAGCTGCCTCCTGTCGGGAGGGGACTCTGCACATCCCCGGGGACCCCCTCCGGCTGTGACTCGAGAGTTCCCAGAAGAACGGCTGGTGCGCACAATTCTTTACATATGTGAAGAAGCCATTGTTGAGTGGTCTGGACTGCCTGGTAAGCAGCAAGCAGCAGCTGAAGTGCCGCGATGGCTGGTTCACAGGAGGGAAAATTAAACCCGCGTGACGTACCACCGCTTCCGTGTCGTGTGAATTGAACCGATCTTTCCCACAGGCAAAGCCAGAGGACGTACGAATCAAAACAGAGATCAAATTCAGCCTCTGACTTACATGACTTCAATATGCAACGTCTCTTACTTGCCCCAGTCCACTCCTGTGACTCGTGCTAGATCAGATTTATTTTATTTTATTTATTAAATTTCTCCCCCGCCCATCTCCCCCCAATGGGGGACTCTGGGCGACATAGATAAGTCACCCTGGAGTTTTGTAAGGCGACAGTAAGCGAGACAACGTGACCTGGGTGCCTTGAGCTTTGGTTAAGCAAGGCCTTGTCCCAATCTCTGTGCAAAGCTCACATTTTAACATTTGATTCTACATCTTTCAGTTCAGTTCAATCATATGGGCAAAGTCTTTGAGGGCTATTCTATTTTCTTTGCTATATATATAGTAATATTTTACTATATATATACACACTTTATATATAGCAATACATGTTGCATACACACACACACACACACACATAGTAATAATTAATACAATTATATCTGCCCTTTGCTGATGGGAAAGTATCAGAGCAGTCTCAGAAATGACCATTGGTATCTTGGATAAATATGGAATACGGCTTTGAAGAGTGGCGTTAATTGATGGTCTACTTTTCATTCCCAAATGCCCTCAGAGTGCTTATTTGTGGCATTTCAAAGAGCCAGAGACCAGGGGTAGCCAGCTTTTTGGGGCTGGGGACATATTTGAAATGTTGAGAGGGTGGGCCAGGACTGACAGTTGTTGGGCACATACCTATTTGCAAAACAGCCTTTTATTAGAAGGTGACCTCTCAATTGCTCTCTCTGATCCCTTTTGTGGAGTCCAGATGCATTCCTACAAAAAGTAATTTTTAAAAACATTATAAAAAATGCTGGAATCTGGTGCTCAACACAGAGCAACGCGTCTTCTGTTTTTCCAAAGGAGGTAACATTAAAAAGCTTCACGGAGGAGGAGGAGGTGTGCAAAAAGTTGGTTTGTAAGAACTCCTTGATGGTGAAATGTGTATAACCTTCAGGTTTTACAGAACTCAACAAGCTGAAGGTTTTCAAAATTGTTCCAAAACTTCTGCTGCAGTTCCTCCCAGCCCAGAAAAAGGGGCTGCAAAACCAGTGAAGGATCCCCGGATGGGGTCCCAGAATCAGAAGAGGCCAGGAGGCCTGGACGACGTCTGCTCAGCGCAGAAGCATCCAGAGGGGCGGCCGTCCACCCCCAGTAAGGGGGCTCACCAGTGGGTGGCTGTCGGTTCCACAGTCAAACTCCCCACCCCCGGCCTTCCTTCAGAATACGCCTTCCTGTCACTTAATCCATCATTCCTTGCCTGGCACCCAGGAATGATAGAAAACCGGTTCTTGACTTTCTTTTCAGTACATATTTCAGCTATTTGAAGAAGGTGCCCCCATCCTCTGATTCTGCTCCTCTTTTTCCGAGGCCGCCTTCAAATTTATTCCTCAGCCTGGACGCAACTCGGGTGAGGTCTGACCGACATAATGAAACGGAACAATTAATTCCGGTGATTTCAAACCTGGGTTTCTATTGATGCAACCTAGACCTGCATTTAACAACCACATCATACTGCTGACTCAGATTAGATTATGCTTACTTGCAAAGGTGCAAACCACCCCCTCCCCAACTTGGACAGCTCCCTCCTGTTTGATGAGCACTTGAAATATGGTTCAGAAGATCTATCTAGATGTGGATCCTTTAGCCTTTTTTGGGCCTGGTGTACCTGATGGGGCTGCCAACAGTGATGGTATCAATGCCAAGAAGGCTGGGGGGGGGGTCTGGGTTAGATCTCCCCCCTCATTCGAGCCCGTGGCCATTGTACCAGGCAGATCCTTATATGGAGAGAGGGACTGGCCGAGGTCACCCAGCCTGTGGCTGAGGGGGACTCGATCTGGGGCCTCTCAGCTCCTAGTCCAGCACCTTCACCGTGCCACTCAAAGGCCCTTGGTCACAAGCGCTGGTGAAATTCCTGTTGGTTTTTGCGAGGCTTGCACAGGGATTTCCTGTGAGTTTTAATGCTGTGATGGGCAGTCGAGATATTTCTTCTCTCAGGAAGCTTGGAAAAAGACAGAACTGTTAGGAGACGCATTTATTTCCAGCTTTCATATCATCTTCTCAACTCTGCCTCCAAAGTGGTGGTGGCTTCCACACTCTGGCTCCCACAGTGGGGTCTCTGTAAGCCCTTCCCCAAAGTTCCTCCCCTGCCCTTCCTCAACTCCTGGAGAGAACCTACGGAGGCCCCACTGCCACCAGCCCCTCTTCCTCTCTGGGGCTGCTGATGCTTTGCCTTTGAAGAAAAAGGCAACTGCAAAGCGAAGCTAGCCCTCTCCTCTTTCAAAGCTCACCTGAAAGAAGGGGAGACGTTCCTGCTCCTGGTTGGTGGCCAAGAGTTTTGCAGGTCTCTGCCCACCACCCAGATGGACGTGTTCGATTGAATCAACAAAGCCAGCTGCTCTCACCGGAGGCTCTGCAGATGGGTGGGGTGGCAGAGGCCCTGCTGTCTGGCTGGGGATCCCGGGGGGTGAAGCACGAAGGTCCAGGGCCGTTGGTGAGCCGCTCGTTCTCCGTGGTGCTTGGAGCAGGACATAAACCACTTCACAGAAGGAAGTTGGAACTTGAAATAAGGAGGAATTTCCTGGCCAGCGGCGGGACAGCCTCCCTCCTGGAGTCGTGGGGGCTCCGTCAATGGAGGTTTCCAAGAAAAGATTGGCAGCGATTTGTCTGGGATGCTCTGGGGCACTGTTCCTCAACCTTGGGCACTTTAAGATGTGTGGACTTCGACTCCCAGAATTCCCCAGCCAGCTTT